CTAAAATTCAATAAAATGCCTTCACATTCCTGTGTTTTTCTTGCATCTCCCAGACATCTTGTGGCCATTTTAATTCAACAAAGGTCTATCATCTTTTCAGTTTTGGTTTTTTGTTGTTTTTTTTTAAAGTACAACAAAAACAGCAATGTGAATAATGCTTCTCCTGGACCAGGACTCTCAAGAGATTTGTTCTTTTAGTGTTTGACTTAAGAGTAAGAATTCAGTATAGAATGCAGTAGCCAGCTGTTTTCCTAGTGCTCCCTTAGGTATTATTCCTAAAATCAGAATATGGAAATAGATAGTCATGAATGTGGAATCGTTTCAACTATTCTGAAAGCTTGCAAAATTTGCTTTGTTTGATGACATTAATCTCTACAGTCAAAAATAAATAAATAAATAAATTAAATATCTGCCCTGTATAAAAGGCTTGGTGAGCCATTCATTAAAATATGATAGAGATACATTATATTCTCAGATACACCCACATAGAAACAGAAAAAAAAAATCTGTTTCAGTAAGACTATCCAATCTGGCCACCAAAATCCTGAAAGTGAAAAAATTAATTCAGGTAAGTATAAAAGCTGTAGCTGGTTCCAGCTGAACTTATTCTAGCCTGACACTGAAGCCAATGAAATCAAAATCTACAAGAGACTCTGTAAAAGGCAAGACTTTCAACCAGAAGATTACAGAAATCAGACTAAAATGACACTGTTCAAACAAATTTTAGGAGACAGAACTTCAGCTAGCAAAAAAAAAGCAAACAAACAAACAAACAAAACAAGCAGTTTTACTCCACTAGCTTCAGGGGAGCCATCCTAAATACCACCAACTAGGAACCCAGCATTGTCTTTAAAAAGGTTTAGTTTTCATGTCACCATTGGGATATCTGGTACTTTTAGTTAGGATATTCATCTTCTTACAGACCTCAACAAAATAAATAACCAAAATCGAATTTTAACAAAGGGCGTCAGTCCAGGTAAGTGCCAAAGAATAAATGTGTCTCTGTTGTACCAGCTCTGTAAAAGAAAGGGGGGGGGAAACTTTGAATGTAGCAAAAGTGTAGTCCTTGATACACTATGCTGCAGAGCAGGATGAAATACCAGAGGAACAAGTCCACAGAACAGAATAATTACTTCCTTTATAACTTTGCTCTCTTCTGATTATGTACATACATTTTAAAGGTCCTCCATCCTTCAAAAGGGTATGGGAGGCAGGGGAAGCGGGGGGTGGGGGTGCTCTGTATAGTTGCTGGTAAGAAATCCTAATCTCAACAGTGGTGTAAACTGGAGGTGTCTTTACATTTGAGCATTTCCTGTTTTCACTTTGTGATCAAATACGTTCTTTGCAGGGCAAATAGGGGAGCACTTGAGGGAGGAAAGCAGAGATGTCTGAGAGGCTAATTGAGTGTACTAAGGACTCCTTGGCACAGAGGAAAAGGAGTCTTCCGAAGCTATGAATAAACTCTCGGCTTGGGTCAGATTTCTGGCTGTTTCTTTTCTTTAACCACCTTTGAACTCAAATAAAAACAGCCTAATGTCAGGTTTACCTTTCTGATGTTGTAATCTTTATGTACTATTGAAAAGCTTATACTACCAGACTAGGATTTCCTCTGCTTTCTTAAACACTGGATATTATCCAGAAAACGCATACACATTTCCAACCAATTCATCCTCAGATCTTTCCTCCTCTGGCACTGTTGTAATTCCAAATATAAGACAGAGCTCAATAAATGAACAAGAACATGACAGAAGCTCCTACTCCTTGCATCTGATTTCCAACAATAAAAACATGCACGTGTATCCTTTTTCAAATATAATTAATGTTACTGCAAAATTGAAGCAGTGATGGGGTTAGAAATTGTTTTGAAAGACACAGCCTGTCAGATACATTTGTTCTACATCAGAGTTCAAGTGCCTGACTCTTCCAAAAAGCCACTTAAACAATTCAATTTTTAACCTTAGGAGTTTGCAAACTGATTGAATAAAGGAAAAACATGGCATTTTATTTAAAATCATAAGTAAATACAATTAGTCAGAACTGAGTTACTCTCTTTCAATGTGACAGTCTAAAGGAATTTCAAGTTTAATCCATGCTATAAAAGATGGACTGCCACTGCCTCTCCTTACATGGAAACCAGAGGTTAATGATTTTTGTCATATTGAGACTAACAGCTAACAATTGCTACAGTTGGCCTTTAGTATTTTATTTGTCCTTTTGAGGTATTCAGAATAGGTGACAATGGCTTGCAGTTGAGAACATATGTAGAGAGACCCCTGTGGCTTATGGAAAAGTTGCTCCATGCTGGTTGGGTGTTTGAAAAAAAAAATACAACCAGAGCTCTTTTATGTTCCACTCCTTAATGAATGCATGAATGTCAAAATGTACCAATGGCCCATTCAGGGGGCAAAGCCTAAGCAGCTCCTTCTTTAAGAACACATCCTGAGTTGTAAAATACATTTGCTTAACAAATTAAAATAATGAGATAATTCAATTAGTTTCTTAAAAAAATACTATCTAGTAATATGTTTCTGCTAGCATCTGACAGGAAAAAAAAAAAAAAAAAAAAAAAAAAAAAAAAAAGAAAATTAAATTATTTTTTAAAAAAAAAAAAAAAAAAAAAAAAAAAAAAAAGAGAGAGCAAGAAAAAAAGGGTACATCAGGGGATTATTGTAATACAAGAACAGGTCATACAGCACAAAGGAGGAACAAACCAATTTTAAATAAGGTTAGAGTAGTAATGAAGGAATGTACATTGAATCATGCACTGCCATTGTAAAGATATTTACTTGAAACAATAAAATTGTACATCACAGATTCTACTGTTCTGGCTAAGCCAGCATTGTATTTTGAATGGACAAGCTCATTTGAGAAAAAGTGACAAATCTTTAAAATAAAGGAGTTCTCTTCTTTCCCTGCATGTGTTTATGACAAGAATCTTTCTAAATTTACATTGCACTGGTCAGGGGTCTCCATTATCAGTTTGCAGGTCTGAGAATTACAGCATAGTAAATCTTTCAACACCTGCAAACTCATTAAAGCTTGGATGGTAAAAGGTTTGGGGCTTTTTTGTGTTCATTTAATTTGATTTTTGCGAGGCCATCCTCACCAGTGATGGCAAATTTCCTTAATACATGCAGGATGGAGAGGGTCAGAAGAGACAGGATGGAAACAAGGAAAAGGGATTTCAAAAAGCCAGGAGGACTTTCCTTAAGAGAAGTGAGTGGCATTTGACTGTTATTAATAAGCATGTGTTGAATGCTTTCAAGGAACATGTGAGAAAGGAAAGCAGGGAGAAAAAAAACAGATACCACAAATTTCATAAGAGAAAATGGAGTTAACACTGACATATGTACAAAGCAAACTGGTTTATCTGCAGCCCTGCTTTCTGCTGTCTGCCTGTACTACTTTTCTAAAGGTACCCTACAGCTAAGTGAAAAACCCTCCACTCACACTCACTCGACTTCCAAATTAAAAACATTTTACAGGTTAGTAAATCTCCAGCTGAGGTGATGTAGCAAAGAACAGCTGTGAAGTAATTTTGATAATGATGAGAATAATAAGCACATGGCAAGGTTCAGGGCTTTGCTGTTGCAGCTTCAGTGCTCCTGAATAGATAAAAGTGATTAAATACTCCTGATTATCCCTGACCAATATGTAATGGATTTACAGCCCTTTCAATTAGTCAGTATTTGCTTAGGACTCATTATTTTGTCTTTGGTTAAGTAATCAGCCCAGAGACTCATGTTCTGTCTAATTCCTCTGAGCCAAGTGGGTACAGGGCATCTGACCTTTGAAATGGCCATAGCTGGGAGGCAGGAATAACCACTACTCCAGCAGAGACACTGGCTATTCCAGCTAATCCTGACCCCACAGGCCAGATCAATGCACCTTAGTTTGCTACTAATGTCCTTACATCAAAATGATGGTTTAGAAATGTGGATCTATTGCTCCCCCCTTTAGCTGTGCTGCTAGCAGAGCAGCTCGATAGCCCCTATCATAAATAAATCGGGTACCTTGTCCTGAAATCATTACACAGTAACCAACATCAGCTACTGTGGAAATTTATAAAACTTTGGCAGAAGAAGAGGTAGTTAATAACAGTTAGCATTTTAAGCCTTATCAAGTGAGAAACAATTTTACACTGAGAGGAAGAGGAAAAGCGATTGATAATTTTACCACTTTCCATTATTTCCCACACAAAGTAAAGTAAAAAGAGTGTTACTAGGTTTTCTGTGGAACTATGTTTTGATGCCTAATTGAAGCTATAATTGTCAACAGAACACCAACACATAAAACCAATTGCTAACAGGAGGATAAGAATGGGCCATGCAAAGCATTGCTTTTTCACATACATAATCTCTCTCCCCAAAATGTGAATATGGCTAACCTTTAATATGCTGCACTTGAAGAGAGACTGTGCTTATTCTCACAGTTATGCAACTGAAGAATCAGGGAATCTGTAAGCTTTCTGTTTCACAAAAAGTAGCATACAACTTCACAAGCTGCTGCTTTGACTTCTCTAACATTCCACAGCCTATGTCAGCACACACAGACTGGAGCTCTCTCCTCCACCACATACATAGGAAGTTTGTGTAAACAGAGGCCAGCCATAAAGAATCCAGAAGGCAGATCTTTATATGTGGTAAAGCAAGAAATCCCCTTGTTTGTCCTTAGGAACATTTTTAATTGTTCAAAGCAGAAAATGGTGACTTGATATGTAGGTGATGATCCTTGCTAAGACTTTGTACTCTCTTTCTCTCTCTCTAGACATGCATGTGTGTCTCTCTCTCTATATATGTTTCTTTCAGATTTGTCATGATTCCAAGAGCCAAGAAAATAAAATCTAGATGCAAAAGTAAAAAAAAAAAAAAAAAAAGACAACAATAATTGACCCCTAACAATGGTCCAGAAGTTATGCAAACCATTGATTTCTAATAAGGATGAATAAACCTCATTAGGCACATGAATAGAAATCTATTTTGGTTTTGGGCACCACTTACTGTGAGATGCTGGAAAAGCCATGCTCTCATGATATTTGTTGCTACTTTGGGGAAAATGCCTCTTTTCTTCTGACGTTTTTTGTCCTTGTCTGGGTCATCGTCATCCCCTGTACCAGGTGAGGCTACACTGTTGTCTAAACCATCTCCTACAACAAAGAGAAAAACAGGAAGGAGGAGACATTTAATGAAAAAATATAGAAACCAAAAAAGTATAATTAATTAATAAGACACTACCACAGTTTTATTTTGATTTGCTAGATAAGGCACTTAGAGTTTCTCATTGTATGAGAGTGCTGATACAAATATGTAAAAACTAGAAACTGTGTCTCTCCAAATACTAATTTTGCATTTCACACATGCATATATCATTAATTCAATTATAATTGTGTGCTTGACATAGTGCAATAGCTCTTTGTCAATTATGAGATTCAATGCGGGAAAACCTGCCACAAGAAAACCCATTCACTGTAAATGCATCCCTACAACCATTCTGAATACATACTATAAGTAATCAAGTTAAATGTTCTGTAGTCTATATATTCAAAGCCCTCTGCAGAGGTGGCAGTAACCATGTCACCGTTCAGTGCACATAACGCACTGTCAGATGAGCCCCTCCCCATAACCATCACCTCCCAACACACATACATACGCACGCACAAACACGTACACCTAGTATGACCCTGCCTATAGCATTTGCATGACATGAAAACTTCTACATCTCTGCATCAGTGATTATTATCATTTAAAAAAAAGATGCACATCAAGGTAGAGCTCTCACTTAATCAGAACTTTCCATCAACATCTTTCTCTTCTGTGCTTTTCCCTGGCATTAATTGTGCATTAGCAAAAATCATTTACTTTTAACAGTCATAGTTATTTTTTCTTGCCCTCCAGCAAAAATGCCTTGAAAGCCTGCCTGGAGGGCATCTAAATTATGTATCTGAAAAACTCTTCTGGCAAGGCATTGCAGGACCCCTACTTTCTTAAAATTCATACAAGCACGTCTTCCTGTTTTTGGGAAGGCATCAATCAAGAGCAGCAATATATGCCATATTCCTACATTAATATTTGAACTAATAACTTTAAAAAAAGGAAAGAAACAAGATCCGACTTGTGGCATAATCAAATGCAAAATAAATGAAGAATACTGGGACAGCACTGAGACTTTATAGATTGCTGTGTTTTCCTTACACATCATTAGCCTGGAGCCACACGAAAGAGGAAAACAGAGAAGTGGAGAGTTTATGCTCCCTGCTGGTGTTTAAGAAGCCGAGGTCCTGGAAGGACATCTGGGAATTGTGCTGAGACGGTGGTTTTTGTAATTTAAGAATAGACATTCATTAGCAGTAAATGCCATAAATCCCATGCTAAGTAAAAACCTTGTCCAAGAAAGCCTAAAACAATAAACTCTGTGCTCAATGTAGCCTGAGCTAGACGCTCCATAGCTTCCTGAGGAATGCTGTAGATTCACGAGCTAATTCCTATAGCCTTGCCTAGCTCCGTAGTGCTACTAAACGAAATATGTTGCTGCTACATACAATCCATTCGATTCAAAATTTGCATTTCAGCTCCATCTTCCCTCCCATGCCAGATCACCCTTCTTCCACTGCCTCCTCTGTGAAAAACCAACCCTTTTGGACCAGAGAGACAGAAAAAGCCACAGCAAAGAGCTGGTAGATTAATTTTATTGACATTTCCATTTTCACTGCAATGTGATACCCTCCATCACATGGAAGAGATGACCCTCACTATTTACAGACTGACAGGCCACTTCATTACAACCACCCTGCCCCAAGGCAGAGCAGCTCCTTTCCATCTGCCCAAACACCAGAGCAAGACCCTGAAGTCACCGTTCTCTTTCTCATGCCTCTTTTCCTTTTTTTGCTTGTTGGGTTGTTTTTTTTTGTTTGTTTGGTTTTGGTTTGTTAGTTTGTTTTTTTCTGTTAATAATAGAGAAAGGAGAGTAAAATCAGAACAAACTAATCAAAGAGCTCGTGGAAGCCCTGTATGTTGTAACCAACTGTTCACTTTTGTGCGATATTGGTTATTTAGAAAGCACTCCTTTCCCTTGCCCCTTCCCCCCCTCATATTCCACCCTACCCATCTCTCTCTCTCTCTCTCACACACACACACACACACGCACAAACACACACTTTCCACTATGCCAAGGAACTGCTGCAAGGCAAATTCTCACAAACACTAATGGCTTCTGACTGCTCCTTGGCAACCCCAGCATTTTAACCTGGGTGGATATGCTCTCCCAAATACAGACACTGGAGCTATCTCATCAGCTGTTCATGTGACACAGATGGAGAGTGGCTATTAGGAGCCAGGCAATGGGCCTTGGGGATCTGAGGTGCTGTACTGTAGCCTCAGGCAATTTTGAAAAGCAGTACCCGGAGATGGGGGGAAAAAAATCCCTACTAAAAGTGTAAGTTTGAAGTCAGTCAGTCTGTTTGTCTATCTGTCTTTCAGATAAAGATATCTTTGTCTCTATGTAAAAGCTACGTGTGTATGCACAGGATGCACTCACATATGAAACTTCCACTCTGCACCATCCTTTTACATCACAGACTTGCAAATTCACTCTCTGAAAAAATTCTTGTCTATCTGCACATACATACTCTCCTGTTTGTGAGCAGGAGTCACCTACATGCTAAATCAGTGTTTGGACCTTTTGGAGACATTGTTGATATCCTAGCTTTAAAAAACTAACAGCAGTCCAGGAGAGAAAAGCTCAGCTGAAGCTCACATTGCCTTCTCACCTTAATCAGTGGTTGAAATTATAAGAGTCAGTGCTTCCCTGATTCTTTCTGTAATCTCATGAAAGGAAATTCTAATATCATACCTCCAAATGACCTTAGAAGATGAACACAGCAAGATTTGTTGCTCCTGGTGAACTACAGGATCAATCCTGTTAAGCTGTATTGTCATATCTTTAATAGTACCACAACTGCTCACAGTAGAGGATACTTTTTCTAGTGGCAAGAAGTTACAGAAGTAGCCTGACTTTTCCAGGATGGAATTATTTACTTCTTGGATGTGGAGGGCCTGATCCTAGCTTGCTGTATCTGTATAAACATGAGTTACTTTAAATGAAGAAAGAGAAATTATCAAAAGTGAAATAAAATGAACAGACATGTAAGTCACTCTATGGCAGACAGGATTAACTGTAGTTTAACTGCAGTATGAAGGATTCCAAATTTAAATAATTTAAACCATCATTACCAGTGATTCTGTCATCTGTTCATATCCTAATTTGGATAATAATTTGTAAGAGTAGAGTCAAGTTCAAACTTGTATGGAACTTGTATATCAGCATAGTTTTCCCGGTTTTCTAGTGCGGAATTTAAGTCTCCAGATTTTGGGCCACTGACTCTCTTTCATACAGTAGCAAAAAAAAAAAAAAAGGTTGTCTTTCTCCTGCTTCACACACTGTTCACTTGTTTATTCTTGTGCAAAGAGTACAAGTGATCGCAAAACCCCGTAACTGTTCTAGAAAAGTGGTGAATTCTTAAGTGGAGCTCTCTTTGTGGAAGTGTCGATGAATATGCAAGATTCAAGTCGGTAGAGAAGTGGGCATATTACCCTGCTTGTTTAATATTATAGCAATGCTATGTAATAGTCTCAATAATCCCTACAAAAGGTGGAGAGAGTTTACAAGAAACTTTGCAAAGTGACCTTTATGGGGTTCCTTAGAGACCTTCTCTTATAGGGAAGGGTTTGTGAAGGAAGCTGAAGATGAAAGTCTTCTTTACACAGCGGGAAGTTAGGCTTCCACACTTGCGCTCTGTGCATTCACTCTTAGCACGTGCCAAGGTTTTCTTCCCACAAGAAAAATTATTCTGCATTGAAAGCAAGGGTGACTACCTCTTATTTTAAAAGCCCCTAGTAAGTAGTTAGAGCAGTGTTTCCATTCACCATAATTTCAGACTTAACTTGCTGCAAACTGATTTCCCTGGACAGACTAGCTTACTGACCCCCATGTTCATACAGCTAAGGACTCTTCAGGAAACAGAGTGCAGTCCTACAGAATGCCTGTCCAAACTTATTGTATCAATGAATTCCTCTTTTACAGTCCTCCACACTACCAGTATTATCTCAGCCCTAGTCCTTGTTTGTGTTCCTCACAGAGTAAAGACCCAGCAAGAGGTGAAGCAAGAGCTGTTTAGAAGCTGCTCATCTGGTCTTTTCACCATGTGTGAACAGGATGAATAACAGATTCCCAATCTAGACAAAATGATAACTGAAAAGGATAGGATAACCCATTCAAGTCAAAGCACAGAAGCCTTGTAACAGCCCAGATTCAAACCCCAGAAATAGTTTTTATTACCATCATAACAGGCAGAGCAGTAAGAATAGTGATCTCTGCAAAAATACATTTCTGGAACTCAGTTTCTTTACCATCAAATGTCCCTTACAGTTTTATGGTTTGTTATACTAGAGGAAAAGAGAGAAAAGCAGAGTGTCTAAGGCAAGGGGAAGACAAGACACTTCACCATTTTTCTAAAAATAGTGCAAGCAATATGAAAATCAAGTTAAAGTTTTCTGAAAAAAAAAGCTGCAGTGCTGATCTTAAGTAAGATACTCTACAGTCTTTCAGTCTGGTATTCTGATGGAGCAAAATATGTATATACAATTTAAAATAAAGACGAGAATCTGCATGCAGCTTAAATTCACAATTTGCAATTATTTGTTTGTACTTATAATGTGTCCATCTGGACACATAAGTCTTGTAAACCATTATTAATAAGGATGTTCAACTTAGTAATATGATCCACAACACCACCAGGGAAAAATCTTTAAAATCTGGTTAATTAACACTGCCAAAAAACTGGAGACTTTTTTGGCTCTTAATTGTCTGTGTTTAAAGCTCATGTTTATTTGTGAAGTGAATTGAGATTATATTCAAAAGCCAACAACAGGTTTTTCTAGCTTTTTAAAGAGAAAACTAATGACCACTGGTTTAAATTTTAAGCTCTTTTATACAGCCTTATGTTTGTGCTTTGTTCATTATAATCCAACATTTTTTCACATCAGATGAAGAAAGTATTCCAATGCAGACAAGGGGAACAGTAAAGCAACCTGCTAATTACTGATCTCTCTTACGTTCCTGCTGTGCTAAACTGTCCAGACATGTTGAAGT